CAGGACACCAGTCTGTCTTGGAAGAAGTGTGGCCAGAGTGCTCCTTAGAGACAAGCTTGGTAAGACTTCATGTTCCATACTCTGGGTATCTTGTCAGGAGAGACCAGTCCCTGGAGAAGGACATCATGCCTGGTAAAGTGGAGGGACAGTGAAGGAGAGGAAGGATGTCCACTAGATGGACTGACACCCTGGCTGCAACAACAGGCTTGGGAACCATTGTGAGGATGGCACAGGACAGGGCGTGTGTCATACTTCTGTACGTGGCACCACCGTGACGGCACCAACGACAACATCTGCACGCGAAAGCCGGACAATGACTAAGGAACACTGAAGAAGCATGCACGGGGTTGTGAGTTAGTTAATTGTGCCAGCCTGGCCGATAATCACATGTGGTGCTGGTTGAAAGGTGGAGGGATAAATGGGTGGTGAAGCCTTGCCTTTCTAGTTCTCTGGTCTCTTGCTTTGTGATGGTTGCATCGGGTGCAGCTGCCTTAGCAGTACCCTGCTTCAGCTTGCAAGATTGACTTCCTACAAGACATCCCCAAGGAGAAGCCTCATGGATCTATCCTGATGCAGCCCTGGGTGCTGGAGCAGCCGTGTGGAGACCCCTGCCAGTGCTGAGATGCTTGTTCATTCACTGACTCAGCTTTCCTCCTGCAGTCGGCATCATTGCCCCTGTTTTGTGAGGTGGAGGACTTTGTGGACTGGTGTTGGGTATGGGTTAATGTTGGACTTGTGGGCTTGGGCAGCATTGGGTTGGGATGTTTTCGTGATGCACATTTTCTTTGCATAAAACTCTCTCTTATACGTGAGTTGCTGTGGATTTGTTTCTCCAAAGGACCCAGACTAACACAGGTTGGAATGGTGGTGCTGGGGAATGCTGACTCTACTGGGGCTTCCCAGAAGAATGGCCGGATCCATCTTGGAGGACAGGTAGCCCCATTGCTCCTTGGAAGTGAGGACAGCGAGACCTTGTCTTCTTTACCTGGACATGTTATGAGGAGGGACCAAGGCTTAGTAAGGTGAAGGGTCACCGAATAATAGGAAGACCTTCAATGAGTCAAATTGACACGGTGGTTGTAACAATGGACTCAAACGCCTCCTACCATGGGGCTGGTGCAAGACCTTCCAGGGTTTTGTTACCCAGTCACGTGTGTTGAATCTGACCTGAGCACACTGAACGGCAACTACCAGCATGCGGTGCGTTCTCCGAGGGATGAGCGCGGGGTTTGAGGAATCGGGCTGAGGTGAAGGCTCTAACGCAGTGGTTCTCAACCTTCCTCATGCCACGACCCTTTCATACAGTCCCTCATGTGGTGGGGACCCCCAACCATCACATTATCTTCGTTGCTACATTGTAACTAATTTTGCTACTGTCATGAATCATCATGTAAATATTTGATATGCAGGATCTATTTTCATTGGTACAAATTGAACCTAAAGCATAGTAATTCATCACAAAACAATATCTAATTATATATGCTGAAATACTATTTCTAATGACAAATAAATGAAATTTTGTCTTGAAGCATGGTGTAGCATGGGTAACAGTCTTATGTGGGCACATCTGCATGTGGGTGGACCCGGCAGGAGATGGAAAGAGAGGAGCGGTGTCTCTGTTCCTAAGACCATTGAAAAGATGTGTTTTCTGATGGTCTTAGGCGACCCCTGTGAAAGAGCCCTTTGACCCCCCAAAGGGGTCACGACCCACAGGTTGAGAACCGCTGCTCTAGATGGAGGTGAGTTGGAGGGACCGGCACGTGGGAAGACCTAGTGACAGGAAGGCACTTGGAGAGGGAGAATGCGAGGGCAGCCCATCCTGGCAGAGCCAGGTGAGATGAGCCGGGGAGCTGGATGAAGTCCGATCCTTCAGGATTTAGTAGATTCGCTGAGGAGTTTTGTCCGAAGTCCACAGACGTAGAGAGGGAGCGTCCGCACTGCGCTCCCGCTGTTGTCCAACAGACGTTCTCTTTGGGGAGCGCTCAGTCTGTTACCCCCACACAGTCATTGGTCTCTGCTTGATTCCTTTCCTCCTGGAGCGAGTGCTCTGCATCCCTATTGCAGGGGGAAGCCGAATCTACCTGACTCCCTCACTTAATGTTCCCAAAGGCAGCTCCACGGGCTCTTCTCATTGTAAGAGCTTTTTACTTACGGTTCAAGATGGGAGCAGCCTGGGGCTGGAAAAACAAGTCTGAGGGGATCATCAGTGTTCTGGAAGCCTGTGGTGTCCTCAGCCCCGGCTCTGGGTCAGCCCCACTTACAGGCTCCAGGGCACCTCTTCTTCCCAGTGCTGAGCCTACATGGATGGGTTGGCTAGAGTAGAACCAGGCAGAATGTGGTGGACATTCAAAAGGTCCCTAGGCTTGTGTGGGGAAAGGAGTTTGATGGGGGTCTTTGAGTCTGGCAGCTCCACCCAAGGCACCTATTGGAGATTCGAAAGCTCTACTTGATAGGACCTCTCGACAAGATCCCTCCCAATCGCTGGTGAGAGACACCCACCCTATCACATGTGGGGAACGTGTCCTGTAGAGGTTCCCGGGTCCTGGGAGAGCAGAGCTGCAGACTGTAGAACTTAGGTGCCATGACACCTGAACAACACCGCACTGTGGTGCTCAGGTCCAAGACAAAGCACAGGGGGTGTCATGAGTCGTGGCGTGCTGGGAAACCGTGTTGTTTGGTTTGATTGTTATTCCTGCCCCTGCAGGTGACCTGAGCAAAAGATGGCTCAGGGACCTTGGTGAGGGAGCTCAGTCCACACTCTTCAAACTCCTGGAATCAGCCAGAGGTCAGGGACACATCCTGCAAGTGCCATGGGGTGGCCTGGATGAGGAAGGAGTCCAGAGTGTTGGGCAATCTCGCTCTTTCCCAGGGAGGAGGTGCCCGGCTGATTCACAGGGCGGGTCACCAGGTGCTCTCGGTGAGTGTCCTCTCATCTGAGGAGGCTGGTCTCATCTGAGGAGCAGGCTCGGTGGCTCAGAGCTCTGTCCCCTCCTCTCCTGTCTTTTTGTGGGGGTCCTGGGCTTTCCTCCTCTCTCTGGGAAGCCAGAGCCTGAGTGTTGCCATCCCAGGGAGGAAGCGCCCCCCCAGGGAGAAGAGGGTGAAGACCGGAAGAGGCAGCAGGAGGGGCAGGAGGGCAGGCCCAGTCTGACAGGAAGCCAATGAGGATTGAGTTTCCTACAGCCAATGAGGATTTGGGGGCTGGGACAGCACCGGAGCCACAGGTCTTTCTGAGTGAGTATGCTTCTTCTAGAGATGTGCCCTTCAATCAAAGGAACCGGTTTTCTCCTGTCAGAATGTGAACATGGCGGAAAAAGAGTCTCTGGTCCCCCTTCTGCATCCGGGCTTCATGTCCGAGAATGCGCCATGCTAAATCGGCCCCAATGAGCTGGATTTATTCCCGTGCTTCAGTGGCATCTGCCCTCTTCCCTGCACTGGCCCTCACATGTTACTTTGGATTTCTTGGTTCCACAACTCAGCCCTTGCTTCCTGTTCCCGTAAAAACCGTCTTTCAGAGTCTGGTATGGCAGAATGGCTATTGAGATGAAGTAAGCTCACACACGTCAGTGGCCACCCAGGCCTGAGTTGTTCAGGGCGCTGGGAAGGCGTGTGGAGCTTCATTAATCATGTGATGAGCTCCTGAGGTGCCAGGCCAAGGTCCTCAGGATGCTCACAAAGCAGGGGGCAGGGGGCGGGAAGAAGCTTCTGGACGCACCATGTGGGAGGAAGGGCGGGGTTCCAGCTGGGGCTAATCTCCAGGTTAACTGTCAGCATCTCCTCCAGGGACCCAGCTCAGGCTCTCCCCCTAGGTGTCCTGGGAAGACCACGTGATGATGCTTCCAGCACTTTGTGTCTTCTCTGCTCTGAGTCTTGGAGTCTGGGGTGAGTTTCCTTTTGCTGGACCAGAGGACAGATGAGAAGGGTCACTCTTCGGTTCTCATAAAGGAGTCCTTTAAGCACTTGCCCTGGCAAAGAGAGTAGCTGTCTATTTAGGGCACAGGCATTGGACCCGAGTTCGAGTCCTGGCCCTCCCTCTGATAGTGATTTCAAACGAGCCCTCAGTGTCTTTAGACCTTAACTTCCACCTGGAAATTGAGACAAGAGTTATGATTTCCTAAACTCATTCTGTCGGAAGAAAGGCCTGCTCATCTGTGTTAGAAAGGCAGTCAGTGGAAACCCTATGGATCCTCATGCTCCCATCTGCATCCGATCCCGCAGGGGGTGCCCTGGGACCTGGACGCATTTCTTTCCATTGTGCCTCAGTCAGGCTCCACCCGATGGCCATGGACTGCAGCAACAATGAAGCGATTGTGAGGTCTGAATGAGATCGTGCAGGGGGAGGACTTAGCACATGGACAGAGCGAGGGAATAAGTAGCAATGGTGGTTGTATGTGGACTATTAATGTAACCACGATCTCACCTAGAACTTGGGTTTACGCTTGTAAATGAGAGGGGAAGGGTGTCAGGGTACACACCACACCCATCTCCACAGTTCCCCACCTAGGGGCACAGGCTAGCGCATGCCCAAAACCTGCAGGGAAGCCTTGACCCATTCAGATCATCGGAATCCCTTCTCCAACACTCCCACAGTTTACCAAATGGAGAGCTTGGTGGTTTTGAAGACATTTTGATACATTTTCAGGTGGTTTCGCACCAATTGTACATATAGGGGGAGTTCTCTAAAAAAAAGGCTAGTCTGACTATTTAATTGGATCTATGTGTATATGCATATACACACATAACCTTACATATCCACAACAGCTATTTAACAATCGTCCCGGAAGACTGACCTGGGACCACACCATCTGCTGCTCTTTGAAGCAGATCCTTAGTCACCTCCAGGGTGTTTCTCGGAGGGGACTTAGGCATTTGGGGAAGGCAGAGGGGTACTAACGTGCCACTTGCCCCTCCATGATGGCTGGGCTGGGTTCTCTTCGGACTGAGGCAGCGGGGGATGTTCTTTGGCAGGGGATGGCTCCTGGAAGGAAATCCCAACAACAGCCATGTCAGAGAGGCTCCAGTACCTGTTTGGGAACGTTTCCAAGCTCATTGAGGAAGGAAAATTCAGCCTGAAAGGTGAGGAGGCTTGGGGACATGTTGGGGTTTCTCATGTGACCAGATACTTGTCTCAGGGATGGGGACAAAGAGAGTTCAGATCCTGGGAGGAGCACTGGAAAAACTGGCCTGCACCCAGTGGCCTAATTCTGGAAACTCCACTCTGAGGAAGGAGGTCCATTGTTTGTCCTCCGAGAGTCCTCAGTCAGGGTGGGGAGAGACAGTCTGACCAAAAGAAGCTCTCAGACTACAGAGGTGACTCAGGTGGCCCCGAGGAACCCCCTCAGGCAGAGGGCATGATTTTTCCCCAAAGGGGGACCCTCAGGGAAGGACAATGTTGCAGTCCACACCACGGGGGACATCGTCAGGGTGCACAGTGCATTCTGAGAGTGGGTGTTAGTGCTGAAATGGAACTGAAAGAAGGCTGTCCATTCTATGACTTCTTCTGGGAGGAAGGCGAGAGCCCGGGAAGCTTCCTGAAATAGGTCTTGGAGCAGAGCTGGGAAGAAACAAAAGATGGTGCTGGCTGTAGGGAATGTCTTGACATAGGGGAACAAAGCATTTGGGCTTCTCTGGCCAGGGGCAAGCTCGGTGTTGAGGGGAGGACAGTAAAATGAAGAACGGAGGTGAGAAGGGGAGGGTGAGCATGCTTCTGGCCCCTGCCTGGGGCTCTTCCACCACTTAAAGTGGCTCCTGTGGCAGTGATGGGGTAGGATGAACTCTATGACCGGTCTGTGGTTCCCCCCCGCAGATGACTTCCCTATGGTCACTCGCAAGGAGTGGGGGGCAGCAGCTGTCTCCTGTAACACCCAGCTAAGCAGGCCAGTGGACTTCCTTGTCATTCATCACATCCCTGCACTGGAGTGTCACAACCAGACAGGTTGCAGTCAGAGGCTGCGGGAGCTGCAGAACCATCACATCCACAACAATCACTGGTGCGACGTGGCCTACAAGTAAGAGGCTGGGCTCCTGGGCAAAGCTCATCTTCAGGAGGCTTCTCCCACCCCTCTCCTCTCCGTTCTCCTCATTGTCTGGGTTGGATTGCTTCGGTTTTCTATTGACTCCAATATTTGGAAATTCCCCCAAATTCCAAATCTGCCAGAATTTTCTTTGAGGTCTCTATCTCTGAGATGTCTCAAAGGAAGCAAACCATCTCAAGAAATGATAGAAATTGCTATCATCTCTACCCGTCTCCAAACCTGGTCACACAGAACACCACAGGTTACACGTGACTGCCACCTGTAGCAGTGTGTTTGCTCCCGGACAGCTCTGTGAGGTTGTTGGGTGACTATGATGATCTCCAGGTAACGGGGAGGGGCCCAAAGATGAGGTTGTTTGATTTCCTCAAAGCCACACAGCTGCAAAGCTGGGGAACCCAGTGGCCCCAAACTGTTTCTTTGCCCATTTCATGTTCCCTTCCAGCACATGTATGATGCTGTTATGTTGGTGAAGTTGTCTTCCAGCGAATGTTCTAATGGCCGCTCTAGTGGACCCTGTGGGTGCCCAATAACACATGCTCTCAGTCTACCTCTGACTTTGACTACACAGTTCCTGTGCTTGGTAATGGTTTCCCAACTCATTGCCCACTGCCCCTCTTTTTTTCGTTTTCTTTTGAATCAGGGTCTTTCCTTAATACCCTCATGCTTTGATCACATACAGCCCCTGGAAATGGTTGAACATTAATTAATTCTCCTTGGTACAATGACTCCATCCATTCCCTCCATTCTCCCTTGATGCTTTCAGTACCGTTCAATATTGGACCCATATCATCCCTCAACATTGCAATTCAAGGCTTGAAACTTTCCTTCAGTTCCTTCAACTTGAGAAATGCCAAGCAGCTTCCCTTTTGGTTGTCTAACTCCAGGTCTTTGCAATTTTATTATAATATTTTGCTTTGTCCCCTTGAGCCACCAGTTTAAATCTGTTCAGCTCTTTTACTTTATTTCTTCTATTAATTTTAGCTACTCTCCATTCAAGGAGAATTGCCAGAATCACCTGACATCTGTTACCTTCTGGTTGCTTCATCTGTGATAACTTGTCTGGTCTTCAATCATTAGTGTTCAGTGTGTCAAATCTGTTCTTAAGATGACCCGTAAGTTCTGGTGGGATAATCTCAAGGTCATGTTTTTGCTCTTAGGTATGGACTTTTTAAATTTCTTCAGCTTCATCTTGAAGTTGCATATGAATCATGGACGGTATGTTCCACAGTTGGTTTCTGGTCTTGTTCAGTCGATGGCACTGAGCTTCTTCATGGCCTCTTTCCAAGATTTAATCGAGTTGATTCATGGGTATTCTATCCAGCAGGGTGCATGTGTATAGTCACCATTTATGTTATAGAAAAATGGTACTTGTATTGAGTATCACTGCAGTTTTTCTTGCAAAATTTCATTATGTGATCCCTGGCAGCATTTCTATTACCAAGGCCACTTTTGCCAATTTGTTTTTGTCTGGGGTAGACTAGAGAAACAAATCCAGAGACAGTCATATGTGTATAAGAAAGCACTTTATATACAAGAGCTATTGAATATTGAGAAAATATCCCAGCCCAGTCCAGATCAAGTCCATAAGTCTGGTATTAGCTCATATGTCTGATGCCAATTTATAAAGTCCTCTTCAGACTCATGCAACACATGCCATGACACCAAATGCAGGAAGATCACAAGCCAGTGGGTGGGAAGTCTTATGGATCCAGTGATAGTAGAAGTATCTCAGCACTGGTCGGAGTCTCCACGTGGCTCCTTCATCTCCAGGGCTCTAGCATAGCTTCATGTGCTTTGTCAGCAAGCATGTCATGCAGGGAGTGCGTGTGTGCCCCGCCTCCAGTGAGCTGTTTATTTTCTTAGCGCCTCCAAATGAGGGCATCAAGCTGCGACTTGATTGACAGGCTAAACTCCACCCCTTCACTCTTAAGTCTCAAATTGACAACAGATTATGTAACTACCACACAACTGCTTCTCCTCTTCTTTGTTTCCAACTTTACATTTCTATCACCAGCAACTATCATGGCATCTTGAGTACATGTTTGATCACTTTCAGACTGATGAAGTTGGTAAAAATGTTCACTTTCTTTATCTTGGGCATCAGTGGGTTGTACATAAATTTGTATCATCATAGTATTGTGTGAGGAACAGAAGGATTTCTCTTAAGTTGTCTCCCCAAAATATATACCAGACTTAGCTGCTTGAGAATGACTATTCTTTAGGCAGTGAAAGTAGGTCAAAGGTTATTCTCCTTAACACCGGCCATCTATAGTGGCTAGACTATTAGTCTGACTCACCCTAAATAAGACCCACTCCCTTCTGATAAGGATAATGGTGGTCTGTTTACTTGCAGGAGATACCAGAGAGGGCAAACCCGCCCAAGGATGACCAAGGTTAGATGGTCATTATCAGCTGTCTAGATCAAGCGGACACCATTGTTATTCCCACAACAAATGTGGGCACACCCCTAGGTGATTCCCCTCCTATTGATTGTATTACCTATGTTAATATCCCTCCCGGTGACTCAGGTTATTGTCCGCTATCAGGGAACTTGCATGCCTCCCAGACTAGTAATTGTCTGCTTTATTGTATGAGACACCAGAATGATCAAACTTGTTCAAGAATGAAATGTATTGCCCCTTTCTGTGATGTATGACTCTGTAATCAGGTCCCCCTAAAGTGATATGATGCATGGTTAGCAATAAATAATGAGGCTCCCTGGTTCTCGGGAGGGTGGCCGGAGAAGGTGACTAAGGAGGATGAAGCAGCGGCTTCTTCTCTGACGGTTAAGCCCCCTCCACGAGGACCATCAAGCCTAGCTGAGGTGAGCTATGCTACCATGAATTGCGTCTGACTCCTTTACTTGACTCCATCCTTTAACTCTCATGCTCTCTATGACTTTACTATAATCTCTACTTCTTATCGCTGTACAATTGTGCCTACCGAACCTGTGATGTTTTGTGGGGTTCCCTCTTCCCCTTAACCCCACAGTATTGACTGATCATCCTTATAGGTTTATGGATATTATCCTATCACTAACAGCATTGTATTTCAAGATAGATCTCTAAAGGTTCTTTTTAATAACGATTAGGATGCCATTCCTCTTTCATCTGTCATTCCCAGCTCAGTAGATCTCATGATTATCAATTTCAAAATGCCCAATAACAGTTTATGTCAGCTCACAAATGCCTAGGATATTGATCTTTATGTGTTCCATATTTTTGATGATGTCCGATTTTCCTAGATTGATATTTCATATACACTACATTCTGATTTTTAACGAATGCTTACAGCTATTTCTCTTCTTTTCTTTTTCTGGAGGCCCCACTGGTATGCAGCTATTTCTTTTCATCTTGAGTTGTACCACATTCAGAAATCTATGTCCTGCAAGCTTTGATCGACTCATGACTATTTTATTGCTGAAGGGGAATTAATGTTCCTCCAGGGGACAGGTATGGGTGGATCCATTCTTCATCTTCCGGTTCTTCTGAGGCTCAATTCTAAAGTACACAAATTTGGTAATTCTTTGGATCACCCGAGAAGATGGAGACCTGGCTGCCCTCACAGAGCCAGCCTGACTCTGCATGCTTTGGGGAGGCTCTACCCTCTGACTCCCTCACTCCGACTTCTGGTATCTTCCCACTGCCTACCTCCAAGCCCTCGTTTCAGGCTCTACTTCATGGGAAGTCCATCGAAGACGGTGTCTCTGATGGTGAGAAATCCAATGAACAGCAGGTGCGGATTTAGCAGGCTGCGTGCATTGTGGAGGCAGGGGGAAAGTCACATTTTTAAAAGTGTGGAGGCTGAGAAGATTCTTACACTGTGTGATTGAGTTTGTGTTCGAGGTGCCAGAAGTTTTTCTTCCAAAGATGCAAAATAATTTGTATAAAATACAGTTGTTTGCAGAGGAGTGGGCTCTTCTTAATTCTAAGAACTAGTAGCAATAACTTGGTCTACCTGTTCTTTGGAAAGAGTTCGTGCAAATTTTTCTTTGAGAACCCATTTTCAGTATTCCTTCCTCTGAGGATGGGGCAACTGGTTTCCTCGAACAGGACAAAGCATGATAGCAGACATTCAATCTATATTTTCTTGCTCCACAGTTTCCTGGTTGGGGATGATGGTAGGGTGTACGAAGGTGTTGGTTGGAAAGTCCAAGGCTGGCATACTCAAGGCTACAGCAACATCTCCCTGGGCTTTGCTTATTTCGGCACCAAGGAAGGTAATGGTCTTCTTGGCTGACCCTCGTTCAAAAAGTTGTGTCCACTTCACTTATGCCCTTGTGTCAACACTTTGTTGTCTCTCCCCTTTTTCTGATGATCCACTTCTTTTGGACTTCTCTTCTCTCTAGTCTACCGTTAAATGACATTCCTTTTTTATTTTTGACAGTTCTATCGGCATCTAATTCACACATCATACAGTTCAATAGTTCAGTCACATCAAGAAGAGCTGTACAAACATCACCGCTATCAGTGTCAGGACGTTTTCTTCTATCTTGTACTTGTGGTTATTGGCTCCCCGTTTCTACCCCCCATCCCCCAACCTCTCCTGCCATACCTCCAAGGAACCAAGTAATCTGGTTACTGTCTCTGCAGACTTACCTATCCTGAATTTCATATACAGGAAAAGTGTGAACAAACAAACAAAACCACTAACAAGAATAACAAAGTAAAACAGATCATTATTGTAACAACCATCTTGAGGTCTCCAGTCCCTGAAATATTTTTCACTTTCTTCTGTCTATTGTTCCTCTCCCACGTCTGTCCTACATGCTCACTCTAGGATCAAGACATTGAATGGGCACGTCCTTCACTGTAGACACAAGTCTTGTCCATATGCTTTCTCATTTTCCTCTTTTAGGACCGACTGAGATCATACAGATAGTTATCATGATCCCGATTACATAAAGGTGTAGCCCGAGTCCAGGAGAGGCAAATGACCCAAATGGACGCAGCTATAAGGAGAGGAATCAGAGCACGATGTTGCCAGGCCCTGATGCATCTGTTTCCAGCAGATTCGAGGGCTGTTTGTGTTCCACTTGGTCTTGCTCTCATTGTCACTCAGAGCAACCTGGGTGTCCACTTGTTGGCTGTGGTATCTTGAGCAAATTATTTAATTTCTTGGAATCTTAATATCTTCTTCATGATTATTAGAGGTCAATAATAATATCTATGTACTTATATATAGAGGTGTATAGTAAGAATTAAATGAAAGAGAAAAAAAGAATTAAATGATTAATCCAAGTTAAGAGACTGGTATGTGCCAGGGTCCCACCTGGCACATAGACAAGAAATTCCCACCTGCCCAGATGGTGGTCCTGAGGATTATGCTGCCTCTCAGCTTTTTAGAGGGAGAATCGGTGAAGCCTTGACAGGTCCTTTCTTCCCAGGCCACTGGAAGCTCTTCCCAGGTGCATCCTGGATACTTTAGTGTCTCCAACCTGGGAGAGCTTCCTTCCCACTGTTCCCTCCAAGTGCTATGTGGGGAATGGCAGAACACTTCATCGTCTTCCCTCAGTTCCTCTGAAATCAAACCAGACCTATGTACCTCACAGATCGCTCTCTTTCAGGCCACAGTCCTAACCCCACTGCCCTGTCTGCCATGGAGGGCCTAATCTCTTATGCTGTCCAGAAGACCCATCTGTCACCCAGGTACCTTCAGCCACTTTTGGTGGAAGGAGAGAACTGTCTGGTGTCGCCACAGCAGAGAGGTTTGAAGAAAGGTAAGACATTCAACTCCACCCTGCCTTCCTTCCAGAGGTTTCCGTTATTAGTCCCAAGTGCTATTGGGAGTGACCTCTCCACTCTGTTTCTTACTGGCTTCCTTCTGATGGGGGCATTTGCCACCCAACTCCATTCAGAAAGACCTTCCAGGATGCCTCTTTGTCCTTAGATTCGGAGAAAGCTAGAGCCATGGCACAATTATTACTGAGTCCTGAGTATACACATCCAAATCCCTGCCCTCATGAAGTTTCAATCTAGAAGGCCAAGAATGGCAATAAGACACACAAGGAAAATGTTTGGTAGACTATGTGGTAAAAAGGGATATGGAAAGGGAAAAAACCAACCATGTATACACATATGTCTATATTCACACCTGTGTATACAAACAGATATCTTTCTGATTTTAAAACTAGAACAATACTAAAATATTGACAGCAAACTCAAGTCACCAGTTATATAGACTTGATAGAATTTTCCACAATTCAGGTAATAAAACGTAGATATGATTTTTGGCTAAACAAATAGCAACATCAAAAACAGTAATATTAATAAGTGTTTTAAGTCCTTTGTTGAATTTCATAAAGTTTACTTTCAATTAGCTTTATTTTGTTAAAACACTGAAAAAATTGATTTACATATGTGTATATGTACATAAACAACACCCCCCACCCCACTCCCGCCCAATCCTTCAGATAAATAATGATATGCAGTGTGTCCATGGAAGACAGTATTAGTGTCTCCTTAGGGCCAATACTCCCACTGTCCTATTGGTTGTTTCAAAATCTATAACTCTCTGGTTCATGGCTGTTGAATCAATTGGTGCAAACATAAGCCACTTCAACCAAAAAAGCAGAGCCGTTACTGTTAAGTCTAATTCTACTCCTTTGTTAGTTCTGCTTCTGGGTGGAAATCTTTACAGAAGCACATAGCCTGGCCTTTTCCCTGCAGCACTGCTGGGTGGGTTTGAGCCACCAATCTTCGGGTTATTAATTAGGCACAAAGCATTTGTGCCACCCAAGGACCTCCATGAGCCATCCTGAGAGCTGTTGAGCTCTCTTGAATCCCAGTGCCAGGCTCAGCCCAACGGGGGATGGGGGTCTTACAAGGAGACTTTGTAGGATTTCAGTCGTAGGTGGTTGACCGAAGGGTCAGGTACATGAATCCCATGCCCATGTGTGTTTTGCTCCACAATAGCTTGCCCCAGCATTGTTACGCGGTCTGACTGGGAAGCCAGGAAGTCCCACTGCCCCAGGATGAGCCTTCCAGCTAAGTATGTTATCATCAGCCACACCTCTGCGAGGACCTGCACTGTTTCTGATGAGTGTCGCATCCTGGTCCGAGATACGCAGTCCCACTTCATGGACAGACAAGGCACATGCGACATCGGGCCCAAGTAAGTGGACCCAAGAACAAATGGGCTTTATTTTCCTTTGGGGCAGAAACAGAATGTTAAAAGACAGAGGAAAGGAAACAAATCTATCTTGAGCATTCACCCTATGAGAGTGCTTTATGTGTGACCACAGTGGCCAGATAGGTGACAGCTGTGGTGGAGAGAAGGCATTAAAGGGCTCAGTGGAGGTTAAGAGCTAATGACCAGGGTGTTGGGGTACATAAGAAGGGCATTTGGAAGATAGCCTTGGTCAGCTTTTCAATGGGCAGATGGAACAGGTGGGCTGATGTCCATATTCCTGTGTGGGCCAATGGGTGGTTTGGTGATGGTATCTTTCACCAAGATGGGGAATCAAGAAAAAGGAGATCAGGTAGGGACAAGGGTGGGTCCAGTGTGAACATGTGGACTTTTATAGTTGGCAATTGAAGCTAAGGAATGGGTGGGCTATTCCTCTGAGAATATGCTGAGTAAGAAGAGTAGAGGGCTTAGGGCAACAGAATGAGACACCTCACTTAAGAAAAAGGTAAGCAGAGAATATTGGAGGAAAAGATTGAAAGTCTGAGGAGTCAAAGAGGGAACAGTCAGAGAAGAAGAAATCCAAGAGAGTGTGCTGTGATGGGGGTAACGGGACTAGACAGTTTGGGGAAGGTGAGGAGGGACCCCAGGGTCAAATGCAAAGAGAGAGGTCAAGTCAGGTAAGCTTTGAAATGCATATGCTGTATTGAAGTGGTTAAGAGGTCACGGCTTCCTTGGAGTTGTGTGAGCAGAACAAGGACATGCTGCATGGTCAGGAAAGGTGTGCATCAGGGTTGCATGCTGTCAGCACACTTATTCAATCTGTATGTAGAACAAATGATCAGAGACGTTGGATTGTATGAAGAAGGGCTCAGTAGCATGACTGGAGGAAGGCTTATTCATAACCTTCCACACATAGATGACACAACCTTGCTTGTTGAAACTGAGAAGGTCTTGAAGCCATGGCTGATGAGGATCAAGGATTGTAACCTTCAGGGTGGATGGCAGCTCAATGTCAAGAAGACAAAATGCTCACACTGGACCAGTAGGTAACATTGTAATCAACAGAGAAAAGACTGAAGTTGTCAAGGATTTCATCTTGCTTGGATTCACAATCAACACCCATGGAAGCTGCAGTCAAGAGATCAAATAATTCATTGCATTGGGTAAACCTACTGCACAAGACCTCTGTAGAGTATTGAAAAGCAAAGATGTTACATTGAACATTAAGGTGCACCTGACTCAATCCGTGGTATTTTCAATTGTCTTAAACGTATGTGACAGTTGGACATTGCAGGATTGAAGCATTTGAATGATGGTGCCAGCAAAGAATATTGAAAAGTACCATGGACTGCCAAAAGAACAAATAAGTCTGTCTTGGAAGAAATGCAGTTCGAATGCTCTTTTGAGGCAAGGATGGTGAGACTTTGTCTCGTGTACTTTGGGCGAGTTGTCAGCAGAGACAAGTCCTTGGAGAAGGGCATCACGCTCGGTAAAGTACTGAGGCAGCAAAAAACAGGTAGACGGTTGACAAGATGGAATGATGCAGTGGCTGCATGGATGGCCTCACAAGTGAGAACAATTGTGATTATAGCACAGGACCAACTTCCTTTTGTTGTACCCGGAGTGCCTATGAGTCATAGCCATCTCAAGGGCACCCAACACCAGCAATAACAACCACAACAACCAGCAGACACTCAAATCAACAGCCATCCTCCAGTGTGAGCTGCTGGACCAGGGTAGCATTTTCTTACTTGTCTCTTTAATGGAGAGCGTAGCTCTCAATAGGTGATCCATGTGTAATGAGCACAGGTCAGCATGAATGAAGCATACCGATCTTTCTCTTTCCTTGCTCTTCTAGCTTCCTTGTGGGCCAGGATGGGATCGTCTACGAAGGGACAGGATGGAAAGTGCAGGGCTCGCACACTGCTGGCTATAATGACATTGCCCTGGGCATTGCCTTCATGGGTACCTTCACAGGTCAGTAGATGCTCTGCGCAGTATTGCACGGTGTTCGAGGGACTGTAGCTGAGAGACTTGAAAGACAAAGGTATCGGACTCAACACGGGTCATACTAAGGTCTATCTATGCTGAAATGCCCAGCTTCAAACTTGACATTTAAATGATGTGTGACAGAGGTCACCGAGGAATACGAACCCGAAGTCTACTTCCCTCTCATTTGGCCCATTGTCTCTTTCTTCTCCTACCCAACGTCCACACAGAGCAAGCAGGCATGATCTTTCTGCATAATTTTAGTTATGACAGCAAATGCAGCTCTTTTATGATTAACATGACAACAGTAGGAGAGCACTCCGCCTTATTTCTTAAAGCCAAAAATTAGTTCCTCTTTCTGCACATGATGGATTGGCATTGTTCAGGGTTCTTGTCCAGAGTTTTTCAGACTCAGAGGCCTCTTGATGAACCTCTGGGAAGGGGAGGTTGTGTCAGTGGGCCTGGTTCAGGCTCAGATGAATAAAGGCATTGTGTGCGTGCATGGGTACGTGTCAAGAATATGCCGGGGTGGGGTGGGGTGGGGTGGAGGTGGTATAGGACTGGGCATGTAAAGTGTGCTGGAAATACCTTGTCTAACCCAGGGTTTATTGGCTTGGGCACTATTGATATCTTGGATCAGAGAATCTTTACGGTGGGAACTGCCTTGTGTGCTGTAGAAGGATGAACGGTGTCTCTGTGCTTACTCAGCAGATGCCAGCAGCAAACCACTCCTCACCCCTTTCAATTTCCACTCTCCCAATATCTCCAGATATCAAAAATTGTGGCTTAGAGACCTAAATTTTCCTTGTTGAAAACTTGGGGCGACATTAGGCTAATTAGACTAAACTTTAGCCACACACCAAGGTTTTGAACATCTGCAGAGTATATCAAACTCTGGCCTTCTAATTCAGGTTTCTCCAGGGAAGCTGTGAAAAGGTTATTTAACTTAACTTCTTTTGGAGGGTGTGTGTGTGTGTGTGTGTGTGTGTGTGTGTGTGAAGAACTTTGGCATCAAGGACTCTGAGATCCTGACCGGGTTTTATGTTTGTCTGTGGGATAATTGCTTTGGTTGGCAATATAATAGCTTGGTGATGGTGACAGTGGTGGCGGTGGTGATGGTGCTGTGCAGGGATCTGTCCTGGTGCAGGTGTGGAGTCCTGGTATCATCTGGCCAACAGTGATTGGCAGTCCAACCTTGTCTTTCAGGGAATCCACCCAATGCTGCCGCGCTGGAGGCCACCCAGAACCTGATCCAGTGTGCCATGGACAAGGGGTATTTGACTCCCAACTATCTACTTGTGGGCCAGAGTGATGTCGAGAATACGCTGTCTCCTGGGAAGGCTCTGTACAATATCATCAGCACTTGGCCTCATTTCAAGCACTGAGGGGCCCTGCTCTTTTTGACGCTGCTCCTTCTGCTTCAATGCCTATGACTCCTTGGTCCTCTCCTCTCCTCCATCCTGCTCTAGGCCCCTGCCAACCTGCCAGCCCCAATGTCTCTTCTCTGAGGTTCCTATGATCATGTCTCTCCTGCTCATTTCCAGACCCCCTTGCCCCCCACCAAAAAAAATCCCAAACTCACTGCCAATGAGGTGATGCCAACTCATAGTGACCCTATAGGATAGGATAGGACTGCCCGTGTGAGTTTCCTGGATGGTCACTAGTTAGAGGAGTAGAGAACCATGTCTTTCTCCCAAGGAGTGGCTGGTGGTTTTGAAGTGCTAACCTTGAAGTTAATAGCTCAATATGTAACTGTTATACCATCAGGGCTCCTTCCAGTGGTTTCCAAATGCCCCACAGCTGGGCATTAACCACCCTCTGAGTCTGGGGCCAAACTCCCTCTCCTCATCTTGCTCTCCCGTCCACACCCACCTCCTCAGTCAGGTAGTTTGACAGCCGGTCCCTGCTTCATTTTCTTTCCCTCTGGACTTCTCTCTCTGCCTGGTGTCTGCCTGCAGCCCCACTCCGCACACAGGACCAGAGCCATCTCACCCACGGATTGTGCATATCTGCATGCAGCTTTATTTAAAGATTCTTTGATTACTTATATATGTGCCTGTTTGTTTGTTTTTTACTGGGCTGTGAGCATCTTGAGGGAAGAAACTTGTCTTCCTGGCTCTGCCTCCCCACTGCCTGAGCAGACCATGAATTTGACAGGCATTTCACACAGGTGTTTGCTTGTTGGAGGAATGTTGAATCACTAGATGGACATCTCTGATCACTTCTCCAATCAGCTCCATCATCCCCTCCGGCAGCAGTCTTCCAGGACAGCCTGGCATCCTGCAGTAACCTCCTCAATTCACGTCCTCCCAGAGTGAGGCTCAGGCAGGTCCTGGGGGGTCTCTCTGTAATGACTGTTGTGGCAATAAGGTAGCAGCTCTCAACCTGTGGGTCGAGACCCCTTTGGGGGTGGAAAGACCCTTTCACAGGGGTCACTTAAGACCATCGGAAAACACATAAATATTTCACAGTATATTAGTACATGAGTGCATCTCAGATCCTTACATGATGATTCATACCAGTAGCAAAATTACAATTATGAAGTAGCAACAAAAATAAATGTTTTAGTTGGGGGTCACCACAACATGAGAACTATATTAAAGGGCCACGGCATTAGGAAGGTTGAGAACCACTGCTCTAAGTTTTCATCCCTCACCACCCAGAGCTCCCTGACGGTGGGCACATGAGCACACTCCAGGGCCCAGGACAGGGCTGTGTACACAGCTGCTCAGGGCTGCTCTCCTGCACCTCGGGGACCACTGGCTACTGGCCTGGCCATTGAACTGGGTGGGACCCAGAACCTTGGAGCTCTGAAGCCCTCACTGCTGCCTAGGCGCCTGCCTCCACCCACTCAGTTGGGGACAGATGATGTGCTAATTATTGGAAGTGCAGGAACTGCTTCATGCTTTCTTTCTGACGCTGATCTGAAACGGGGGAAGGAAGGAAGGTGAAGAGGAGGAAGGAGAAAATAGGTAGAAGTCATGAATGGACTCTGTTTGGTTTTCAAAAATAGCTATCTCTCCATTTGCAGCATATTTTTGGTTTTAGTACGTTTCTTCAATCATTGCAACCACAGCCATAACAGGCCCCATGTAGTGCTTTAGTAATCACTTGTCAAAATGTCTGTCATGATTATCTAACGGTGCGGTAACAGTAATGCCCTGAGTGGTGGCTCTAAAGAACAAAAATCTATTTTCTTGCAATTCTGCTCAAAATCCAAATCAGGGTCTCAGTTGTGCTGAAACCCTTTGTAAACTTTTCTTCTGCTTTCTCGTGTCTGCTGGAGACCCTTGGCATTCCCTCCTGTGTGTGTCTCTCTCTCTGTGGGGGCTGGGGTGGGGTGGGGGGTGGGCGGGACTGGACGGAGAGAGAGAGAGATTTGATTTGGGACTCACTTTGCTCTGCTGTGAATTTATTAACATAACAAAACACACCTCACTGCCAGGCAGTAATAGTTACAGCTGCAGGGATTACGGTTTTAACATAAAGTTTGGGGGATTCGATTCAATTAATCACAAGGACCTCATGGACACTTACTTGGTTAAATGGCCTCACATAATTGTGGAGGGTTGCAAGCAGGGACGAGATGATTTCCACCCCCTTTTCTAAAGAAACCAAATGATCCAGAGAAACTTGGGTTTCCTGACCCCTAGAACCTGGAAGCAAAGCTGTCAGGATATCATGTTTTCAGTGCTTCCTGCCAACCAAGCACTTCCTGTCTAGGGGAGGTCTTTCCACTAACAAGTGCAGGCAGGAAGTCCATTGAGAAGGAGGGCTGAATTCTGGAAGGTAGCACCACGCACTGAACCAGGATTTCGTGTCCCGCCTGACAGGCTCCATAGCAGATGGCCTGCCTCTGGTCTCATTCTCTCTAGTCTGGTTCCATTTCTAAGGACTTGGCTCTTCCTTCTTCCAGTGATGGTTTTCCAGAGGAGACTAAGCCCTGGTGCTGTAGTGGGCTATTCATGGGCTACTAACCACGAGGTCAGTGGTTTGAAACCAGCGCCTACTCTATGGGAAAAAGATGAGGCTGCCAGCTCCTGTAAGGATCTAGGAAACTCAACGGAGCAGTCCTACTCTGGCTTTAGGGTCACTATGAGTCAGAGTAGGGGACCTGGTGGCATAGTGGTTACTTGTTGGGCTGAGATCCACAAGATGAGCAGTTTGAAAGCAGCAATTGCTCCTTTAGAGAAAGATGAAGTTTTCAAGTCCTATAAAAAGTTACAGTTATAACCCTCAAGGGCAGTTCTACCTTGTCCTATAGGGTCGCCACGAGCCAGAATTGATTTGATGGAAGTGAGTTTTGAAGTGTCTCCTAGTCATGGTCCACTGTACCCCTAAGACCACCACACATTAATATTCTTTGAAGAGAAATGTCTATGCTTCACAGGCTCCGTCACAGCAAGATGCTTGCCTTTAGAATCAGTGCTGAGGCCAGTGGGCTGGAACTTTCTAAACAGAAAGATTTATGCAGCCTGATGTATGCCTTTACTCTAGTGATTAGTCTCTAATCACTCCCTATCTCCCCAGGAATCAATCATAGTGTTTGTCCATCCCACGGGAGCATTGTGAGGACTACCTGCAGTAATAAATACAACGACTTTGAAAACAGCAATCAGTTGCCATTGAGTGGACTCCAGCCCATGGCGCTCCCTTGTGTGTTAGAGGTTAACTGTGCACCACAGGGTTGTTGAGAGTTGGTTTTTCAGAAGGATGTCATTCGGACTCAGAAGGTGAGGGGCTTCTGGGTAGATTCCAGCTACCAACCTTTTGGTTAGCAGCCAAGCAAATATACACTAAAAAAAAAAAAAGACAAATTCTTATTTTTTATTTCTTGATAGTTCCTGGCAGGCAGAACATGTCTGCTTAGGAAGTAACCTCAGGTTCCTGGAGAAGTTTGGTGTAGGCTAGGGAGAGCTGGCCTGAGCCCAGATCCTTAGAGCTGAAGCAGAGTGTGTGTGGCCAGGTTTCAGAAGAGATTCCAGACCAAGAAGAAGAACCTGATTGTGGTAGATATATAATCGTTTGTCAATTTGAGGATTAAGAGTGTAGGGGAGGAGTCTAGCTTGTCAATCAAATCATAGCCAATGAGGCCTCTGTGTGGACATGCCTTCTCCTGAGAATGATGGGAAATCCGGTACTTCCTCCTTGGGGGTGGGAGACTCTCTGCTCATACCCTGGGAGACATAGCAGCTGACAAGACACATGGACCCACCCTGATGCAGCAGAGACCCCTGCCAGCACTGAGATGTTTCCAATGACACTGGGTCCAAGGACTTTCTACCCACTGGCCTGTGATCTTCTACATTTGGCGTCATTGCATGTGTTCAGTGAGTCTGAAGAGGACTTTATAGATTGATATCGGACATATGGATTAATATTGGACTTATGGACTTGCTCTGGATGGGGCTGTGATGTTTTCTCAATGTTCAATTGCTCTTGTATATAAATCTCTTTTTTATATACACATATGTGTGTCCATGGATTTGTTTCTCTAGTCTACCCGGACTGACACACTGATCATCTACTTCTTAAAAAACTGGCCAGTGAACACCTTCTACGTAGCAGCAGAACATTGTTTGGTATAGTTCAGAAGGTGAGCTCCTCCGGTGGAAAGGCACTAACAAGTGTGGCCGGGGAAGGGCTATCTCCTCAACGTAGAGTTGAGCTTCATGAAGTACATGTGGCATGAATCAAAATGAGACCAGCTGCAAACATAATTAGAAGGTGGGTTTTCTGAAGTATGAATCTAGGGGAATCAGGTGACTAAAAATGAAATGGAATGCATAAGATGAAAATCTTAGCCACCTGGAATGAACTAGTATTGGTCATTTGAAGCCAGACAATCAATGGTCTATTATGCCAGGTATGTCAGATTGAATAGAAATGTCATTATGTTCATTGTCAAAAAGAACATTTCCAGATCTCTCCTGGAACACAACACTGTTGCTGATGGGATAATATCTATTTTCCTACAAGGAAGACCCGTTATCCAGCTATCACACAAATATATGCACCAACCACCTATGCTACATGAGTTGAAGTTTTACCAACCACTGCAGTTGATCAAATCTACAATGAACATTCACTGAGAAATGCCGGTGATTGGAATGGGAACGTTGAAAGCAAAGCAGTTGAAAAATCACCATGGCAATGGTGATCGAAGCAATGTCAGAGTTCACGTGGTAGAATTTTGCAAGACCAACACCCTAATCTTGCAGAGGCTGAGGGAAGTAGCCATGGAAAGCAAATCCCTGGAAGGCATTCTCAGGGCTTTGGGGAGGAGCAGGTCTGGTGTACAGCCATGGTGACTGAAACTGGGGGAGATGGGTAAGCTGTCAAGAGTGGGAAAGCTGAGAGTTAAGGTGGTAGGGCAGATAATATG